CAATGGTCTGAATATATGAGGTTTAGTCAGAAAAAAATACTGACCATATACCTGTACATACTGATACTTTCTTAATATTTCGATTACAAATATTAAAAAAATATATATTGAATCTTCTTTCAGTTTTCAAGATAGGATTTAAAACTTATTGCTAACTATAAATAAAGCATAGGGATAATATCTATATGTTAAAGTTAAGCTAGCTCCTTCATGAATTCTTGCGCTATTCTAAAATTATACCTGACTATGATTACTGCTTTGATTAAAAAATAACAAATAAAGTCCTCACTCCCCAGTTTAAGACACTATGTACAGTATGATGAAGAAACAGAAACGAAAAAACAGAAATCCATTTATCAAATCAAAATTTGTGTGGGGTGATATATTTACATATATAAAGTGTAAGAGTGACATAAATAACCTTCATCCGTTGTGAATATTACCTTGAAGAAATCTCAGTAAAAAAAATTTCGTATTACAAAAGCAATAGGTAGACAACACCTAAAAGTAAATTTCATGGGGCTAAATCATGCATCGAAAAGAAATATCCAGTATACATAAGGTAGAAAATTGAATTAATTCATATATTTTGGACCTTTTTTATGATTCCTTCAAATGGAAAGCTACAGTTAGAGTTGTAAGAGGCTTTGAGTATGTTCTTATCAGTAGATAGAAACAATGGCAGAGATTCCAGGTATTTTTCGTTCTGTTGCAATACCTCTGCATCATAAACCATCGGCATAAACCACGGTGCACCTACGGAAGCATACTCAAGTTTTTTGAGCTTGGTATAACCATACTCGAGATCGGACGAATGCAAAATTACCGGGAACGTATGACGAGTCGTGTCGTTGACGGTGTCGATGGGCCTCAGCTTGGACGTCAAAAGAGGTGGCGTGAGGCTAATAAAGATCGTCTCAGAAGTCCTTTCCCCGTCCACCCACTTGGGTACGGCAAGCCTCGTGTAAATCTCCTTACCGTGTGCGGCATATGCTCGCTTATAAAGCTCCGCTACAAAGCGACCGACATTATCGAATCCATCCATTTTGTGTGAGTGCAGGTGTTCAAGCCCGTCCGACGGCAGGTATTTCGCCCAGAGCTCATCGTGAATTTCGGTTTGGAGTATGAATTTGAGCGCAATAACCATCGAAAGTGCATTGGCGTAGTCTAACCCGAGGAAACCGGCACGTACACCATAAGTGGACCGCGCCGCCTGCCGGTCGTGCAACGGCATCGAGAAAACATCCTGGTCAACTTCCCACGTTAAGAGATCCTGATAGAAGCGTGAAAAGATGGACTGAACGCAATACCATCCGTTCTCGACTCTAAGTGTTGGTTTGTAGGTTTCTGTTAAGCTTTTAACTTTTTCGATATATTCCATGTACGCCCACACACGAGCAATTACAATACCCATGTTGGGATAGCGGTATGGGGATTGGTCAAAAGGCAAGGCGAGCTTATGTTCCGGGTGTTTGGCCGCATGCCCACGAACCTTTTT